TCAAATGCTTTTTCTGCATCTATTGAGAGGATCATATGGTTTTTGTCCTTGACTTTGTTAATATAATGTATTACATTTATTGACTTTCATATGTTGAACCACCCTTGTATCTCTGGATAAATCTGACTTGGTCCGGATGGATGATCTTCTTAATAATCCTCTGTATTCTGTTTGCTAGTATCTTCTTAAGGATTTCTGCATCTATATTCATTAAGGAGATTGGTCTGTAGTTCTCCTTTTTAGTTATATCTTTCCCTGGTTTGGGAATCAAAGTGATACTTGCTTCCAGGAATGAATTTGGAAGTATAGCTTCCCTTTCGATTTCATTGAAAAGTCTGAAGAGTAATGGCAGTAGTTCTTCTCTGAATGTCTTGTAAAATTCAGCAGTGAATCCATCAGGGCCTAGTAAGGAATAGCCATTAACGCCACAATGCCCAGAGCAATCCTGTTGTTCTGGTGTAATTATTAATAGCATCCCTTTCTATTTCTTTCTTTTTTGTTTGTTTGTTTTTTTTGAGACAGGGTCTCACTACATAGTGAGACTGACCTGGAACTCACTGTGTAGCCCAGGTTGGTCTTGAACTCGCAGAGATCCTCCTGCCTCAGCCTCCCGAGTGCTGGGATTACAGACGTGCACCAGAATGCCGGGCTCATCCCTTTCTTTTTCAAAGGGATCTTTGTTTGGAATGTATATTACATGGTCACCTTATTCATTGAAGGCAAAATTCACACTACAGAATGTGAAATGAGTTGCAAAAACATTGAACTTGGCTATAATGTGTTTCAATTTTGTTAACTAATCACACCAGTAAGAAACCCAATCATAAATTTTCTACTCATCTCTCTGTATTTTTTTACTTTTTGATGTTATTCATTTTAGGAAGCTCTATGAAATACTGAATGGGCCAGGTGTTTTGTTAGGCACTGATATCTTGTGCACAGGCACAAAAGATTAAAACAATGTAGGTGTATAAATCCTTTCAAAATAGAACACCCATAAATGATGAATTAGTTGTATCTCATTGGAAGATTGGGGCAGGACCAGATGTTCTCAAAGGGTCCCTTGCAAATTTGTGATTCCATACTTAGCATTTTGTTTTCCTCAGTAGCATTTACCTCGGGCTGTTTCACAATTAAAACACTTTCACATGTTTTCTCTCAAACAAGAATGTATGTTCTATTTAAGATAAAATAGATTTGAACCCTAGAGAAGAGAGTTTTGCTCTAAACTTTGGAACTAGTTCTAAATGAAAGTGAAAATCAATTCTTTTGCAGCTACTTTCAAATTAATTTTTCCTGTTGCTGAAAACTGACATCTTAAAACTTCAAGAAAGAAATCTGCATTCTCCTTTTACTGTTTAAGGTGAAATATGAACAAATATTCTGTAGGATATGTTGTCTATTTGTTTCACGGAAGGTTGTCATCCAAAACTGTTCTCATTGCACTTGCGATTTGCAAAAACTGCTAGAATTCATGAATAACCGCATTTCTTTAATCCTAGAGGGAACTGGACAAAACAGGAGTAGTTCTGCAGCCTTCTTGGCCTTAGATCTAAGGTAAAACAAAAAGAGGCTGGGGGTAGAGAGGAGGAAGAACAAAATGTTCCAACCTAATAACAACTCTAGCAAGTACCCAAATAGAAGAAAAACTCTAGTGGATGAAATTCTCTCAAAAGGACTATAAAGAAAGGTTCATTTTTCTACCTTGTGCATAAACCATTAGTCATCATGTTGGCCTTGTAATAAGGAAATGCTAAGCTTAGAGAAAACTTCATTGTATGAAATATTTTCTGTATCACAGCATGTCAGGCTTCTTTAATATATTTCAATTTCTGATGCATTTACTTATTCATCTTGGAAAAGAAAAATGTCTGTATAAAACTTCCTAGATTAAACAGTTTTTTTGCTTTGTGCAAATGTTGACAAACCTGTCCTTCGTCACTTTAGGGCAAAGAGAACCAGTGGTGGTGATTGAGCACACAGTTGTAAGAATCAGAACAAGGTGGGCTCAAATCCCGCTTTGCCACTTACTATGAACGTGGCCCAATACAGGTCGCATGACCTCTTTAAGCCTTGGCTTTCTGGCCTGTAAAATGGGGATATTAGTATCTCACAAGTATGCTGTAAAGGTTAAATTATGTAATGCACAAGAAAGCACTTCCAAACAAGTAGAAAGAACTTGATAGTTGATGCCATATCAATCCACCTTGCAATAAAAATTATGGGGATCCTCTTAAGTCACAGTAAGTATCAGATACAGATTCTAATATGCACA